CCACCTGCCAGGCCCTGGGTCCAGCATGGCGGGTCCTTACACAAACGGGGCTCACACTCACATGGGGGGACGGTCATGGGATGGTCATGGGATCCCCCAGCAGGGACCATCAGGTTCGTGGTGGAGGATAGAATGCTGGAGTGACTTGGCTGGGGGGCCCCCAAAAGATATGCCCACGCCCTACTTTCCAGTGCCTCTGACCTTATTTGGAAAAAGTGTCTTTGCAGATGGAGTTTAGGGTCTTGAGATGGGGGGAGCACCCTGGTTGGAGGGGTGGGCCCTAAGTCCCATGCCTGGTGCCCTTACATGAGAAAGGCTGACAGACATGGGAGAGCGCAGGGAAGACACAGATACACAGGGAGACGGTCAAGTGCCGATGCGGCCACAAGCCAAGGGACACTGGGGCCCCCGAAGCGGGGAGAGGCAGGAAAGGTCCTCCCCGGGAGCCTCTGGGGGGCGGGAGGGGGCCCCGTGACACCAGCATTTCAGACAACTGGGCCCCAGGACTTCGAGAGAATATGTGTTTGCTGCTGTTCTAAGCCACTCAGTTCATGGTCCTTGGTGACCAAGACCCCAGGAAGCTGATCTGGGGACAACAGAGCCATGAGTGTCCAGAGGCCCCTCGGAAGGTCCGAGTGCCACAGAAACGACTTCAAACACCCTATTTCCCACGCACATCTTGGGTTTTGTGTTTCTATAGGAAAGGGGTGCTGGGGCTGGTGGGGTGAGCGGGAGAGGCCCCTCCTACCTCTCCCCTGCGCAGGCTGCCGGGAGGGCGTCATCTGTCCCTGTCGCTTGCTGAGTGGCCAGGATGGAAGCTACACGGAGGGGATGCCAGGCATCTGGGCACTCACGGTCCCTGGCCTCGCCCCCGCCGCCATGCGTAGTCCCTCAGGCTGCCTGTGGCAGCAAATAATTATTTTCTCCATTAACAGCAAAAGGACGAAGTAAATCTCATCCATAAATAATGCTTGCCGGCGGGAGTGTCCCCCAGCGCTCTGAGGCATCCCTCCCCCAGCTTTCTGCGCCCGGCCTCTGGGGCCTTGGGGTCTCTGGGAGGCTGCTCTCTCTGGAGGCTGTGACTCGCTGTCCCCGAGGGGCCTCACCGGGGTGGCGGGCGGCCTGGGAGGTGTGGGGGGAGGCTGGCGACGAGGTTGGGGGCAGAGAGCAGCCCCGCAGAGATTCCAGCACCATCATAAAAGCCACGAACTGTGACAGCAGGGGTCCCAGACCGCAGAGGCCAATGGAGGCCCGTCCTTCTTTGCCAAAGGTGGTGACTTGGGGGGTGGGGGGCAGCCTGCAGAGCTTGGGCATGGGCCACAGTTGGGTGCAGAGGCTTAGAGGCCAGAGCCCCCCAGCAGATGGGTGATGGATGGGCGGAGGGGTCTTTGGTCCAAGTCTCTCTCTCCACCATGCTCCTGGAGGGAGTGGGGGGCCAGGGCACAGGTGGCCTCACTGGGGGCCTTTGAGAGACGGGACGGGTCTGGGCCGGGCGGGCTGCCCCCACGGGGGAGCGATCTTGTAGTAACCACGGAGGGGGCGTGGCGACTGCAGCCTCCCGCACACGCTAGGTCTGGGATGAGCACATTTCAGCAAGAGGCCAGATGCTGACTACGTCTGTCTTTGCAGGCGGGCCGGTCTCTGCTGCCACAGCTCCGCTCTGCTCCTGTGGGGCAAAAGCCACCTAGAGGACAACAAAGTGCATGGCTGTGCACCAGTAAAACTTCATTTACCTGAACCGGTGGAAGACCAGATTTGGTGGCCGAGCCTGGTCCTAGGACAGTGTACTCACCACGCTGTGCACCCTTGCGGAGTCTCTCTGAGGGGCCGTCCCTCCAGGGGTCAGATCCTTTAGACATCAGCTCCCAGAAGGGTCTCCCGGACATCCTCTCTGACAGTGTACCCTGCGTCTCGGCCTGTTCCGGTCCGTGGGGGCCTGTGTCGTAGCTGTTTCGTGGTTCCCCCACTTTCCTGAACCTCAAACTCCGAGAAGCAGCAGCTCTTTCCCCGGTCCTCGGGCTTCTTTCCAGGGCCCGGCACAGGCCCCGGCGCCCAGGGCCCCCAGGGCCCGCATGGGCTCTGCACAGCTGCACATCGGAGTGGGGGAGGCAATGGGCCCTCTGTGGCCATGCCAGGCCACCTGGCTCAGCGGCCCCCTCCCCGGGGCTGAGAACAGAGCGTGGCTGCCAGGCCCCCGGGAGGCTTCCCCAGGGACGATGCTGACCTGTCCAGTCAGGGCCACGGAGGGCCCTGTAACAGATGGGGAAACTGAGTCCCGGAGCTGTTGAGAGGATGCTGGAGGCAGGGGCTCCCTGAAGAGGAGGGGGTGAGAAGTGGGATGCAGGTTGCGGTGGCCGGAAGGTTTTATCAAAGGAAATTGCTGCTCAGGGTGCAACCACCCTGCAAGGACACCCAAGCTGGGGAGGGAAACCAAGGCCCAGAGATGGGCGCCCCCCGTCTGGGGTCCCCAGGTCACTGGCTGCTCACCCCCACTGTCTTGCACCAGCTCCTCAGGGCCCAGTCCCAGGTCCCCGCCTCAAACGTCCAGTAAATACATCACCCGCCCGCTGGTATCTCCTAAAAAGCCCCCTGGCCCACCCTCCCCGGTCCCCAGACTGGTGCATTCAGTCGTGGGTCTTCATGCGGGGTCTTCACTCGGGGCTAAGCTGGTCTCCCCCGCCCCTGGCTGCCCCATCCCAGTTTGTGGCAAAACCACCTTCCCAGGTGCTCAGCGCAGTTCCACCTTCACCGCCCCCCGACCCCGACCAGCCTCCCCAGAGCGGCCACCAGAGGGGGCCCATGAGCACCCCAATCAGGTCGGCCCTTCCTGGCCCACAGCCCTTCAGGGCTCCCTCCTCCCTCAAGGGAAAAGCCCAAGTCCTCCCTGGGGTCCCTAAGGCCCTGCACGACCCGTCCCCATCCCCTCCCTGTCCTCCCCTCCTCTCTCTCCCTCCCCCACTCTGCTCCAACCACACAGGCCTCCTGGCTCTTCCTCCAACCTGCCAGGCCTGGTCCTGCCCCCAGGGCCTTTGCACGGACCATGCCTGCTGACACTCCATCATCTCCTTCAAGACTCCCTGTGTGAACCCAAGACCTTTCTCCCCGTTCTGCTCTTCCTACCTCACCTGATGAGCCATACTTACTGGCTGCCTCTCCCAGCCCTGTTGGCTGCACGAGAGCAGGGATCAGACCCGCCTCACTGGGGCCACACGCCCAGGACTTGCGGGATGAGTGGCACATTCATGAGGGGAGGGGGCCCCGTCTCATCCCAGGCCTGGGAGACCCCGTGGTCTGGCGTGCTCCTTGGCTCAGACGCCACTGGAACCGGGTGGTCAGGAGAGCAGGGGGAGGGTGGCCACCGGCCCCAGACAAGCAAGGGGTCAAAGAGAGTTGTCTTTCAGAGGGGACCCGCTGCCCCAGCCACCACTGCCCCCAGCCTACCTGTGAGTGGAGCCCGACAGCCTCCGGGGAGGGGTCTGCGGGGACACAAGCCGCGACAGCTGTGGGCTGGGGAAGGAACTGCCTCCATCAGGAGGCCGGGAGCAGGAGTCGAGGGGCCAGGCTGCGTTTCCACCCTGCCCCGCCCTGCGGAGGCCTCCCCTCAGCTCTGTCTGGGAGCAGGCAGCCCGCCCCCCACCCCCCTGCGGGGAGACCACCCTCCCGCCTCCCGGTGCCCACCGAGAAATGAAGACGCTGCCACCACAGTGAACTGTAATTCGCAGTGCTCACGAGCCTTTAATTCATTATGAACCTAGAGGCAGGGGAATTAGGCAAAAATACAGCGCATCCTTAATCTCGGGTGGGAGAAAAATCAGGGTGGGTGGGTTTTTTATGTTTTTCGTTTTTGTACATAGACACGGATATACCTTTGTGGGGAGATGGGCGTTTCCCCTCTGTTGAGCTGCGGCCTGTCTGCACGTCACCCTCGACCCAGAAAGACCCCCTGGGTCTGGCCCCTACCCCCCTGACCCAGAAGGCCAGCCCGCTTTTTGTTCTCTTTACAATATAAATAGCATTTTCAAACTACATATGAACACAGTGCCGCATCGGGCGGAGCTGCCGCATGCAGGGGGAAACCCCCACATCCCCGCTGGCTCCCCTCCAGGCCTCCCGCCCCCGCCCTGCTCCAGGGCACCTGCCCCCCGCCCCCCACCAAGCAAATGAAAGGTTCTCGGCTCATTTACATTCTTTCCGTTCTCCTTATAATAGTTCTTTCTGGCCTGATAGCCATCAGAACACTCTTTTTTTTTTAATTTTTAATTTTTTTTTACACAAGCAAAATTATCCTGTCGGGCCCAGGGCAGGACAGCGGGGGGCGGGGGTCCCAAGCCCCTCGCAGGCACGCTCGCATAAATCTGACCCCCAGCTCTCAGGAGGCGGGTCTGGTTCTCTCTTGCTGTCCCCCAGACACACAAATCCATGCCTCCCAAATGGGACACAGGGGTCCAAGGTGGGTGCCCCTGCGCACGTGGCGCACCTGGGTGGCCAGAGCCCGGGGACACAGGCCTCGCCCACACAGGGAAACGGCTGGACTCGGGCCACCCGGGAGGCCTGCGCGGCCCCGTGTCGCCCCTCCCCAGACGGCCACAGGCAGCCAGCCATGCACCCGCCGGGAGGGCCATGGGAGGGCCATGGGAGGCCCGGGCGGCGCTGGGGACACTCCGTGGGCACCAAGCCCTTTTGCAGACACTGGAGGCCGCAGCCGTGCAGTGGTTCTCATGAGGGGATAGAAGCAAAAGATGGAGCAAACCAGAAGAGAGACTGTTTATTTTGTGAAGGCGTGCGTGGACCAGAGGGGGGCTCCTGGACCCCCAAAGGGTGCGGCGGGCCTCCTCCTGTCGGCGCAGAGAGCCACGGGGCTGGCGCTGGCCAAGGAGACGGTACCAGCCGCCCAGGCCTTCGCCAAGTCTGGGGGGGAGGAGGAACAGGCCGACGACACATGTCCTGGTCACCCTGCCCGGCCTCCCAGGCACCTCCCTGCCGCTCGCCGAGACCAGCGAGGTTTTAAAACGACAAACAAACAAACAAAAAACGAGATGCTTTTATCTCCCTCGGCATATCTCGGTTCTGAGAAAAAGAACATTTTTGTTTTGTTTTGTTTCATTGTTAAAGCCACAAATCTAGAAAACAACTTTGGGGATTTTTTTTTTTTCCTGGTCTCTGTTTTCCTTTTTTTCTCGTGTGTGTTTTTTTTAAACAATAGGTATTTATAGAAAGAGCCTCACAAAGGTGATGTATGTACAGAAGTCACAATCTCAAAGGCTGCTCAGGAAGCAGGCAATGCAGTAGCACCTTTTCGAGAAGAAGAGCTGACATGGTTTACGAATCTGAGTCGTGGGGGTGGCGCGAGTCCCCGGCCGGCCCCCCCAGAGCCCGCATGGCCCTGCTCCCTGAGTCCGGGCCGCGGGCCGGCGTCCCGCTCGCTCCTGTCGCCGCAGAGCGGGGCGGCCGCGCGTGGAGGTAGCCTCTCGGGGCCGGGGGAGGCGAGGACAGGATTCACAGCAAGCAAACGCCAGGGCCCGCCGCCGCCTGCCTTGCTGGGCCGAGGGGTCGCCGGGCGGCCGGCTGTCCTAGAAGGGGGCCCCGGGCCGGCACTGTGCCTGCAGGAGGCTCTCCATGAACGCTAGGTAGTCCGGGTTCCGCCCTGAGTCCTCGGGGGCGCGCGGGGTGCCCACCCGCGGGCGCTTGGCGGCCTTCACCTCCTCCCCCGAGAAGGTGTTCTCCTGAGGTGCCCCCGTGCTGAGCGACTGCAGGAGACCAGACAGCACACAGGTTAGCGTGGCAGCGGGCGGCTGCAGACCCAAGGGCTGCGTCCCCTCAGATTCATTTGTCCAAGCCCTACCCCCGAGGTGCCGGTATCAGAGGTGGGGGCCCCTTGGGAATAGGGTCAGTGCCCTTTAATCACAAGGACCCCACGGAGCTCTCCCTCTCCCTCCAGCCACGAGAGGACACCAGAAGGAGGCGCCCGTGAACCGGAAGCCGCGGTCGCCCACCATCAACTCTGCCCACACCTTGACCTCAGAGGTGCAGCCTCCAGAACCGCGAGAAACGCCGTCTATACCGTAAGCAGCCCTGACGGACTGACCGGGGGGCTCCACTCAGGCACCCGGTGGGGGCACACGCCCACCCCGCTGGGGGCCAAGGGCCCTGCGCCACTGTCCCTCATCCAGTGACCTTCTGAGAGTGACACCGGTCGCCAGGGGTGGCTGCTCAGCGCTCCTGCCTCTGCACGAACCCCGAGTCCTGCGTGTGAGCCTCCCAGCAGGCAGGGCCCGGGGACAGGGGCCACCGGCCCCCGGGACAGCGGGAGGAGCAGCGCAGCCTGGCTGCATCTGGCAAGCCCCGTCCTTCCCCGCGGGAACCTCCAGCCTGAGGTCAGCGGTGCGACTCGCACCGGCTCTCACTTTGAGCTCGTTCACCGGCCGCCACAGCTGCCTGCACCTCAAAACCTTGCCTTTGGATTAGACACGAAAGACAGACAACCGCACAAGGGCTGGGGAAAAAGGCCAGTCACCGTCCCTCAACCCTGGGACTCACTGTTCCCTTTGAAAAGGGATGAGCTTTGCCAAAGCGTTTCTGTTGGCGCCGCCAACATCGGAGTTTGGATTTTGTGTTCAGGCAGCCGCCGTGGAGCACAATGGCCGGGGGCCGGGCTCCTGCGGGTCTGCCTCCTCCTGGCGGGGCTGTCACCAGCCCTGCAACCCATCCTTCACGCCACTGACCAGGTTCCCTCCCGGGGAGCAGGACGAAGGGGAGGCTGAGGCCTTTCGGATGGGCCACTTCCCTGAGGACCACAAAGGGCTTCTGGGGGCAGCACCCCCACCTGGCTCTGCCATACCACTTACCAGCCGCGACCGGACCCTCTTGGGGAGTTCCTCGTCCAGGGTGAAGATGTCCCCACGCTTCACCATCAGCTGGGACCCATCCTCAAACTCCACCTGAAAAGGGATGCAGTTCTCAGGGGTGGTCTCCACCGCCTCCCGCCGAGGGGCACCGCTGTGGGGCGTCCCCACTCAAGGAAGGGCAGCAAGAGGAAAAGGGGTGTAGAGGTACAATACAGAGAGACAGGGGTGCCGGCAAACACGAGAGAAAGCAGAACAGCTGAGGATGAGCAGCCGTTGACTTTGGCGGCTGGAATGTGGGTAATTTTCCTCCGAGATTTCAGCCTACTAAGTAATTTCTCTTCCACAGTCATGGAAAGAAACTCACAACCATCCAGGTTAAATAAAATATCGGGGCACTGAACCGTATACTTAAAAATGCTCAGCACAGTAAATTTTACGTTACGTATATTGTTTCCCACACCCAACTGGGAAGACATCTCTATGAGAAAAACAGCGGACAACTGAGGCCCCTTCTAGCTTAAAGGTCTAACAAGCCCTGACCGTTTACGTGGGGCAGACAGGAACTGTCCAGGGCCCCCCGGCCCCTCCACCCGAAGGGCAGGCGCCCGCTCACCTGGTAGACGTGGCTCGTCACAGAGGAAATGAACCTGGCCTTGTAGAGGCTGCCATCCGCCCACCGCAGCTCCACAAACTCCCCCTCGGGCGGGGGTCCAAGCCGGACACAGTCCCTACTCTGCAGGGGAAGAAGGCGGCAGGAGGTGAGGCCCCTGGCGCCCCTGGCCTCGGTGGGGCAGCAGCGCCTCCCCACGCCACGCCTGGCACGCTCATCCGTGCTACGTGCTGGGTGCTGGCAGCGAGGAGGCAGGGAGCATGCTGGGCCTGAACTCTCAAGGCGAGCGTGTGGGCACGGGGCCGGGGCAGGGGGGACACCTGGCTGCAGAATCGTCTAGAACTGACTGCCCTCCGCTCTGTGTCTGCAGAACAGGGCAGTGCCTCCCCTGCAGGTGGCCCTGGGCAGCCCCCCGGGCCACCTCCCCGTGCCCGCCCCGCGCCGCTCACTGTAATGCTCTCCGGGTACAGGTTGTCGCTGTAGGACCCGTCGTCGAAGTTCACTTCGTAGAAGGTCTGCGTGCTGGTGCCGATGACCCGGCACCGGTAGTAGAGGCCGTTGCGGTTCTTGGTGATGACCATCTGGCCCAAGGACACGGCCCTCAGGAACTGGACCTGCGGGCGGCGGGCACGGGGCTGCGTCAGCGCACAGGCGGTGGCGACAGGGTGGGCGGGGGCGGGCGGGGCACTCACGGTGTGGCCCCCTGACTTGTGCTTGAAGCAGGTGATGGACACAACGTAGGGCCAGTCGTCCGGCTCCATGAGGACCCCGGCGGCGTGGGCGCAAGTCACATGGAAGGACGTGGAGCAGTGCTCACAGGAGCACTGGATGCAGGCTCCCGACACCTTCTTCATCCGTTTCCGGCAGTACACGCACTTCTGGGGGGACACAGATGAAACAGGGCTGGGAGGTCTCCCCGGAAAGGCCCTCGAGACCTGGGGCTGCAAGGCAGTGGCCCCCGCGGCTGGCATCGGGGGAAGGCACCGGGGGCAAAGCCCGCAGAGCTCCGTATGGCCGGGGTTCCCGACCTTGGTGGAGGGTCCCCCAAACCCAGCCAGTGGCTTCCCCCAGGAGCACTTGTGGATTCTTCTCCACACACCCTCTCTGCAGGGCTGCCTGGGACAGTCACTGAAGAGCCAGCCACGGGAACATCCCCAAGCTGTGAGCAGGAGCGAGGTGCCCACATGCGCTGACCCGGGGACAGGCCCCGAGCCCACGACGCTCAGGGAGGGAACCAGACACAGAAGGCCACATGGGGTGTGAGTCCATGTGGGTGACACGTCCACGGACAGGAAGGGGGCTCGTGGGTACCAGGGTCTGGAAGGGGAGGGGATGTGACAGCTGATGGAGAGGCTTCTTTTGGGGGGAGACGAAATGTTCTGGAACTAGATCATGGTGATGGTTGCCCAACTCTGGGAATGTACTAAAAACTACTAAAATTAGGAATTCTACCTTCATTTTGAATATAAGGCACTGTGGGGTTGCCTCCTCCACGAGGCTGCTCCCCACTGCCCCCGCCCCCGTCCGCACTGTGGAACAGCCCTACCCCCCCATGTGCCGTCACTCTGAGCATTTACTAAGAGGACCTTTATCGCTCTGTAAACCACGTTCAAAAGCCAGATAAGCAGCGCAGCAAAGGGCGCCACAGGAACGCGCCCAACGCCGATCGATGGCAACGAGATCTCATTATTAAACTGTCAATACCTAATCCCCGCCAGCCTGCGGGGACAGGTGTGGACACCACAGGCGGGAGCGGCGTTAACCCTCCAGTACGCGCGGACGGGAAGGCGCAGGGAGGCAGGGAGCAGCCCCAGCGCAGGGAGCGGAAGTCCAGCCACCAAACCAGTGGGGCGCCGAACAGTCCTGCTGCACCCGCTGCAGCTGGGCCAGAGCCGGGCCGACCCCATGGTGGAGAGCCAGGGGAACCCGATGGCTACGCCTGACAGCACAAAACATTTCAGCCCGTGTGTGGCGACCCCTCATTCTGAGCTTCTCCATCAGTTAGAATGCGGGCCAGGCCCCCACCATGCCATCTGTCAGGAGCCCCTGGTGCTGGGTATCTGGGTCTCCCTTGTAGGCTGCAGAAGGGGGGGCAGGGGGGCGGCAGACATTGGTGGAGAGCAGCGGTCTGGGGGAGCCAGGGGCCACGGGTGGGTGTGACGCTGGCCGGGGAGGCTGCCCCCACCTGCAGACACCCTCCCCCCACCACACACACACACACACACACACACCAGGTCTCATATCCTCAGCCTGCCCCTCACGCCCACCCGCCAAACTGCTTGGGCAAATGCCTGCCCTCCCTCCTCGTACTGACTGACGGCCCCTCCACCTTGAAGCTGGGCCAACAAGGGGGCAGAACTGATTCAAAGCGCCTGCCCCCAACCAGCGTTCCCTCTACTACCCCCACAAACTGATCTTTCCCACTCGGGAGTCCCCACCAGACCTTGAAGTTCTTCTGGGGATCATCCCAGCCTGGTGACAGGGGTGAGCATGGGCGCCAACCTGGCTAACCTGATAGGTAATCTGGGCTTGGCCACGGTATGGACGGGCCGCCCCCGCCAGCCAGGACACCTGCAGTGCCCAGGGCCAGAGGCCAGGTAGTCATGGGGACAGACGGACAGATGACCAGGAGTGACCATCCCTGAGCCTGTGGCCAGCATGTGGCTCTGGAAGGTGGGCGGGCGGCTGGGCAAGCAGGAGTTAACTGCTGGCTTCCTTGCGAGGCTCCATTAGGCAGTACAAGTGAGCCTCGTGTAGAAGGATTTTTAATTCATCATTACAAGTGCTGGTAATGAAGAGGCTGCAAGCTGGAAATGTCAGATGATCCATAAAGCGTCTGGGAGGGAGGATCTATCACAGGCACCACGCACCGCGCCGTCACTCCACCTGAATAATGAAGCCTTTTACGCCCGCGTTCCTGGAGGAGTCACCTGCAGGCCACCGGCCTCTTCCTAATCACCTGTCTGCACCGGGCAGGGCTGGCGCCGGCCGCCCCACACCCCCTGGCCAAGGCCCGCCCCCCACCCCACGGGCTTCCTCCGGCTGGCCACTCAGCCCTGCCAGGGGGCCCCACACCTGTGGGCTCTGAGCACCACGTCCCCACAGGACTCCCTGAAAGGCCCACTGGCCGAAGCCCTCTCTGCCTCCGGCCTGCCCGCAGCCTGGAGGAACAGCACCCTTGGAATGCCCCGGCCACCGGGGAATAAACAAGCTGGGAAAAGTAGCCAGATGCTGTTGGGTGCCACGAGACAGCCTGGCAGAGCCCCCCTTTGTTTCCGCGGCAAAGCAGTGGTGAGGTCACGGCGAGGAGGGGCCTGAGAGCAGGAGCGGGTGCTCAGACGGCCTAGCCGGCGCCAGACGGCCGGGCCCAGTTACCACTGGCCACGCAGGAGGCCACGAGCGGCCCACCGTTCAGAAGGGAAGGCCGAGATACACGAAGGCCAAGGGATCTGTCCAAAGTCACGTGGCCGGTCAGCGGCTTGCTCACAGTCACACTCTGCCCACTTGGCCTGCCGCCCCCGAGGCGCCCCCAGGGTGACCATCACTGGTGAGAGGAGGAGGTGGGAGCCCCTCGAGGCCACACTCCACCCAAGGCGTTGCAGAGGGAAGTGCCATGTGCAGCCAGAGGAGCCAGCTACGGAATTCCTACAACTCAGCAGCAGCAACCCCAATTTAAAAATTAGCAAAAGACCTAAACAGGTATTTTTCTAAAGAAGGCATACAGATAGGGGGCCAAGAGGCACATGGAAAGATGCTCACCGTCCCTCATCGTCAGGGAAACACAAGCCAGAACCACAACGAGATACCGCCTCACACCTGTTAGAACAGCTAAAATCAACCACACCAAAAACAGCCAATGCTGGCGAGGATGCGGAGAAAGGGGAATCCTCCTGCATTGCTGATGGGAATGCAAGCTGGTGCAGCCATTCTGCAAACAGGACAGAGGGGCCTCAGAAAGTTAGAAAAACCACCACCAGGGGCGCCTGGCTAGCTCAGTTGGTAGAACATGCAACTCTTGGTCTCAGGGTTGTGCGTGCGAGCCCTGAGTAGGGTACACAGATTACTTAAAAAAAAAAAAAAAAAAGTTAAAAAATATAGAATGCGATCCAGGAATTCCACGATAGGGTGTTGACCCAAGGAAATGAAAACAGCACCTCAGAGAGGTATGTGCCATCCCGTGTTCATGGCAGCATTGTCCGCAGCTGCCAAGACACAGAAACAGCCACGTGTCCACCAGCGGAGGAACAGATAGAGATGTGGTGTGTCCACACGATGCACTACTACTCGGCCACAGAAAGAAGCAAATTCTGCCATCGGCAACCACACAGCCGGGCTCGGACGATGTTACGCACAGCGAGAGGGACGGGCCCAGAAGGACACGTCCTGCGTGACCCCACTCAAGAGTCAAACTCCAGGATGCAGAGAGCAGGAGGGGGGCTGTGGGGGGGGGGGCGGGTGGTTCAGGGTGTGTAACACTCAGTCACGCACCATGAGCCAGTCGCGTGCTCTGCCGGCCGCATGACGGGGTGCCGCAGTCAGCAACGCTGCCCGGTGCGCCGGAAGGCTTGTCAGAGTGCGGGGCTCACGGTAATTAGACAAGCCCGGGGCAGAGCGAGGGCAGCCTCCCCCACGCGGGAAGGCACAAGCTGCACGCTGCACTCTGCCTTTGCACAGAGACCCCGGAAGCCAGGGACACGCTGCACCTCCGAAAAGAAATTGGTTTGGCCAAACTGAAATCAGTGGCATCCGGCTCCCGGGCAGCCGCCCTGCACCCCCCGGGGGCACGACGCCGGGGCACCTACCAGCTTCCACCGCTGCTCGGGGATGGCGCTGATGTCCACGGGGTGGCGCTCCATCACGTTCAGGAAGCGCACTTCGGGGACGGCGATGGCACAGATCACATGGATCCACCTGGTGGGGGGGCGGGGGGCAGGCTGGGGTCAGGACTCACGGGTGGCACCCCACCCCTGGGCCCTGGGGTTATCTCATAGCTGCTGCCCCACCCCCACCCGCCGCAAGCGCCGCCAGCCGGTTGGGGCTTACAGGACCTTAAGGGACGTTCTGGGCCAGCGGCTCCTTCCTGGTCCCCCCACATGCCTCGAGGCCCGAGGCCACACACCCAGGAGGAGCCCTCGCCACCCACCTCCGGTCAGTCGTCATCTGCAGGGCTCCTCCCCGGAGGTTGCAGAGACAGCACTCCTGCGGGAACCAGACAACCACAAGGTGAGGGGGTTTCTGCCCTGGGACCTGCTCCAGCCTCTGCCCACAGTGCTTACATTTCAAATTAGCGGCCATAGAAGGGACTGGCCGGGGCTGGGGGGCGGGGGGTGCATCAGGCTCCACCCCCTCACTGCCGAGGTTGAAGAACCGAGACTGGGGAGGGGAGGCGAAGCAGCCAGCCCAGGTCACCCCGGGTGCCAGGCCCAGCTCCCCCCCTAGGCCTCAAAGGCTTTCAGAGCACCACCCAGCTGCAGGGGTGAGTTACCGCAGTCCAGGCGTGGGCCGTGCACCGGGAACACGTCCAGCCCTCATTGACCAGCTCAGGGCGGATGCCGTAGCAACCTGCAAGACAGGAGGGGGCAGCTGAGACGAGGCGGCATCTGTTGCCAGGCCGCATGCAGAGCCGATGGGGCCTCCTGGAATTCGGCAGCAGCATTTAGGGCAATTGCTCTCCCCACTCTCTCCCCCTGAATCCAGGCCACTGCGCGCCCCAGCGGGAACGGTCTGGAAACAGCTCGTTTGGAACACAAGTAGGGGGAAGGAGAGCAGGGCCCCCTGCTGGGGGCTGCTCAGCCCGGACAGCCCTTGCTGTCTCCAGTCTAGTCGAGGAGGCCCGGCCCAGGCTCTGCAGGCCAGGGAGGCTGGCAAGCCAGGAAAGCGACCCTGCAGCTGTGCGCGACTAGATGAGGACCTTGTGGATGCTGCAGTTCAGATGGCAGAGCTGAGCCAGCTGGACCCTGTGTTCAGGCAGAATCACTACTTAGGAAACCAGAAATTGGAAGCTCTAGGTGATGAAGGTTTGCTTAGGACCTTGGTCCTGGTTTAGACAAGGTGGGAGGGCGTGGAGGAGGTGGGCAGAAGGTCAAGAGCCCATGCCCTGGAGTCATCATCCAGCAGTACCCTCGGCCGGCTGGGGTACTGTCACCTGGCCAACAGGGGCTCTGCTGGCTGGAGTGGGCAGTGGCCAGCGCCAAAGGGCCCCAGGGGGAACACAGGGAGACAGCAGGGTGGCAGAGAGGTGGTCTTTTGCTGTGTCCCCACAGAGGCCCTGAGGGACAGCAAAGTGTGCGAGAGCCGGAGCCCGGCCCCCTGCTCTGAGCCCTGGGGGGCACTTAGCCAAGCTCCAGGCCTAGTGGGGGCCTGACTCCTGGAGGAAGAGGGGGCTCCACCTCTCTCTAGTGCCCGGTCTCAAGGAACAATGCTGAGTCTCTGCCCACCCCCCACCCCCCTTTCCTGCCTGTGCAGCCCGACTCAGGCCCCTCCAGAGGGTGGGCTCGGCCTGGGCCTGCCCGCCCAGGAGCACGTCTCACACCTGGGCCCAGCAAGGCAGAGCAAACAGGCTCCTAGCCAGGGGACAAGATGCGCTCTGGGCAGGCCTCTGCAGGGGCTGGATAGAGATCTACAGCTGCTTTCCTCTGCTGGGCAGCCCACGGGGCTGAACAGCTCCAGAAAGCTTCCTTCCCGTCCTGGAGGCTCAAGCTCGCACCTGCTGCCCCTCAAGCCTGAGAAAGGGGCAGACAGCCATTTTCTTGTCTCGGGCTAAGTCGGGCCCTCAGGCTTTGGGAGAGGGGGGTCGCCCGTGGCAGAGACAGATCAGATCCCCTGGACCACTCTAGAATCTCAGCTTTACCCTCTGACTCCTGTCCCAAAGTGCGCAGTTTAAAAGTGTCACGGCGCATTCAAATGAGGTGATGGGCACCTTGTTTCTTCCTGCTGCTGCTCAGAGGGGACAACATGCCTCAGTGGCACCATCAGAATCGGCCACGGGGAAGGCCACCCCGTGACACCAGGTCCTGTGACAGCCCCCAAAGAGCAGCCCAGAGGGAAGGGGCCTGCTGGCTCCACAGGCCCAAGGGTGGCCACCCAGGGAGGGTGAAGCAAGGGGGCCGCAAGGGGCGGGGCCACAGGGCCTACAGCTGCCCGCCCCCGGCTGCTGGCGCGGCCCCAGTACTCACTGGCGTGCACCTGCAGGCAGCACTTGGCACAGGCAATCAGCAGGCTGGTCCCGTCATCCCCGATGTAGGAATTGGCGGGGAGGGGCTCCGTGTTCTCACCGCTGGAGGTGAAGCACATCTCGGGGATCAGCGGCCGTGTCTTCTGGCCACTTTTGGAAGGAGGAGCAGCTGAGGGACCCTCCCCGAGGGAGGCCTGGGGAGCCTCCTTCTCGGTCTGTAGGGACTGCAGGAGGAGGGGGCTGCCTTCAGTGGGGAGTCCGACATGGGGCAGGCAGGACACCTGATGTGGCCAAAGCAGGCCAGGCACCATGGCCGTCCTTGACTCTGCCCTCTACCGCCCCAAATACCCCCTTGCCTGCTCCTCACTCTCCCCTGCAGCTGCCCCATCCCACCCTCCCAGCCCTCAACCCTGACCCAAGAGCCCTCAAGAGATCCTCCTCAAACACAGTCAGACCCTGTCCCGCCCCCACTGAAAACCCTCCCACTTAGGGTCACATCGGCACGGACACGTCCTGCTGCCCTCATGCCCCTTGATCGCTCTGCTCCAACCACACCAGTCTCCTCACTCGGCCTCCAACACCCCAGGAGCCAGGCACCATCCCACCCTGGGGCCTTTGCCTGTGCCGTTCCCACTGCCAGGAATGTCCAGATGTCTACTCATGTGTACTCTAGAGCCGAGCCCGCCCACAAGACCAGGGGCCCCCAGCCCTTCACCCCTGCTCTGTGTGGTCTTGTGATCCTGACCCTGACCTGACACTGTTTTATCTGTGAACCTACACAGGGTTTTCCCTACCTCTGACATCTGTCCCATAAAGGCCATACCCCAGTCCTCGCTGAGCCCCCCAGATCCCATCACGTGAACAGATCGTGATGAAATCGTCCTGCCCATGCCACCCAGGTCCCACACCCTCCAGGCCTGTCTCAGGACACCCACAGAGGAGTGGCAGGAGAACTCTGCACTCCCCTGACCCAGGAGGGAAGGCACCCTGTCCGCCACCTCAGGTTAAGGGACCAGCGGGTTCCCAAACAGGCAGAATGTCCACACGCAACGTTGGCCACCCTCACGGGACAAGTGAGGCCTGGTCCCTGACTCCGAGGGCTCTGACAGCAGAAGCCCACTGGCGCTGTGGGCACATTGAAACTTAGCCACTGGACTCAAGGAGAGTCGCATCTCAGGCTGGCGGTCCCAGCACCCTGACTCCCAGCAGCACTAGAAAGGGCCACGCCTGGAAAGCCACGTGTTCTGTCCTGTTTGTCTGCAAACATCTGCATGGAGATGGCACTCCAGGCAGGGGGAAGCAGCAGTGCCCTTAACACGAGCATGCTGCCCTCGGCTCGGGGCACAGACCTCGGGGCGGCTCAGCTAAGTGGGCACTAGGCTAGGAGCCTGGAGATTGAGCCCTGTCCTCCAGGGACTCACAGTCCAGGGGCTGATAAACACAGACAGCAGGACAAGAGCAGAGGGGCGGGGGAGAGCCTGGGGGGTGGTGTGCCCGGGGACAGCAGGTCCAGGAAGGCTTCATGGAGGAGGAGGCAGCTCAGCAGACTCAAAGAATGAACAGAAATCTGTCTGGTAGGGCAGGGGGCTGGGTAGGTGGGTGGTTGGGACCCTGGGGGTCAGCACGGAGCACTCTGTCACCGTGTGCGTGGTCAGGGGCAGATACCATGGCAGAGGAAGGCTTCGGGGGCAAACTGGGAGTCCGGGGCCCATGGTGAGCCTGGTGGAGTTTCCAGCCAGGGAGCACATCACCGGCGTGGCCTCCGAACATGTGCCCGGGGCCTCAGTGAGGAACCAACAGGAAGGGCTCCTGCCAGGGCAGGTGAGGGAGAGAAGAGCTAGAAGGCAGGTCAGGGTGGGGGGAGGGGCGACAGGGTTAAGCAGGCAGGATCTGGTGGCTGACAGCACGAGACAGAGGCCGGGGAGAGGCCAGGTCCCGAACTTGGGAAACAGGGGACAGAGCGGGACCCAGCTCGGAACAAATGCCTGGCTCGGCAGAGGCCACTTGGGGGCTCCTCACGGGGTCCGTCCCACTGGGTGAGGCAGGGCGCTTGCCCTGGACCCAGTCCACCCCTTGGCTCGACCCATCATGGCCCAGCCCCACGCTCCTCCTGGCTGCCTGAGGCCCCTCCCTGACACTAGATGCCGTTTTCAGGTCCAGAATAAGTCCGTCTCTGGTAAAACTCAGATACCAAGCTCTGCTTCTCCCTACAGCCCTTCCAAGGGAGCCTTCGGCTTCATGTGTCCCCAGATGCCCAGGGCTTCCCCCACACCCGTTGCCCTGCAGCTATCCGGCGCCCCCCAGGCCTCCCGTCAGGACAAGCTCGGCACTGACCCCACGGTGGCTCCTCCAGCAAACGGCTTCTTGGTCTCCACTACCCTCCCCGGGGCTCCGTCAGGGGGGGCGAACAGGTGCCCCCGCACAGACCGACGCTGCCCACCCCCCGCCACGGCCGGCCCGGCGCTCACCTGGCTGTAAGGGTAGAATAGGGTGCAGATGGCGCAGTAGGGCTCGGTCAGGGCAGCCGCCGCGTTGAACTTCCTCTCGGCCTGGAAACTGGCAGCCTTGTTCTTCCACTGCAGGGAGAGCAAAGACCTCAAGGCCTCGGGGTCACTCACGTCCTCCTCCCCGGAGAAAGGGAAGGCTTCTAGAGGAAAACAGGAGGGCGGGAGGGGACGGAGAGAAACCTCGGCATGGCTGGAGGCCCAGAGGAACCTTCCTTCCTGCCCACCCCACCCCTGCGGGCCCGTTACTGCTGCGAGCATCAGTGGTGACAGGTCCCCGAGCTCAACAGAGCCCAGAGAGGAGGACGGCTGGGAGTGGAGGAGCAGTGTCACTCCAACACACTCGGGGACTTAGTGTCACGGCCAAGACGGAGGCCACAAACAGACGTGCCCCCACCTCGCCTGTCACCTGCTGCGGCTGGCCTCTGCTGGCCTTACGTACCAGCCAGCCACACCCCAGCCCCCCGAAGTCCCATTGCTGTGTTTCCTGAGGACACGGGGCTGAGCTTCAGTGCCTTGCAGGAGGCTACCCCAAGAAGCGGGGTTCTCATTCCTGAGGCCCCAACCCTCACAGCTGCTGGGCCAGCAAGGCATGGTGGGAAGACAAAGCAGACAGGAGCCTGGAGTCCTGGGCGTGGGACCTGGGACTCCCGAGAGGGAGGAGGAGGTCAGCGCAGACCCCCGGGGCTGGGCCTGACTCAAGGGCCAAGACCGCTCTGCCTGAGGAGGCCCCACGCAGGCTCAGGCCCCCTGCAGGTGACAAGCGCTGTGGGCCTGCCTTCTGTCACCAAAGATCCCAGGACACGTGCTGGGCTCTGGGCCCCCGGTGGTCTCACAGCAAAAAACCGCGGCTTCACCCAAGGGACCCGCGGAGTGGGGGTGGGGGAGGCCTCAGAGGCCCCATCTGGAAATGACGCAATAGCCTTTAGCTGCCTGCCGGGCTCTGGCTGCATCTGGCCCTCCAGTGAGCTCCCCCTGCTCTTGGGGGCTCTGGCCTTGCAATCGAAGGCACCTCCAGAACCCCTCCTCGCCCTAGCCCTCAAATCCAATTTGGAACGAAAGGAGCTATCCAGATGCTTTGCAAACTCCAAGGGCATCTTATGCAAAAGGCTGATGCTGGCTTAGCAGGATTTCTGCAAGAGCCCGCGCCTCCGGCTCTCAGCGGCATCCCGGCCCCAGCTCCACGTCGCGTTTGTTCCACCCTCCCCACGGCCACCAAGGGCCACCAGAAAGACCCTTGCCAAGCGGGCGGCCCGGCCACAGGTCGGGTCACGAGGCCCGGGTAGCAGCTGCGGCGCTGCTCCCGCATACGGGCACCAGGGTCGCAGAGCCAGGACATGTCTGCGGGGTAGTCCTCAGGCCTGCCCAGCCCTGCAAGCCTCTAGCTCTGAGTCACTTCTCAAAACCCAATGCAGGGGTGTGGCCGGCACATGGGGCACAGGCATGCCCTTCGGCTCACTCGCTCGCTGGCCCGCTCTGTAAACGTTCTGGAAGCCTACTCTGCACCAGGCATCCCAGCAAATCCCGAGCCCGTGAGAGGAGAAGGCACTGTCCTCACCTGCCTGGGGGCCAGCTAGGGATGTGGACGCACAGGGGCCATGGGAGCGGGACGTGGAGGCAGTCAGCCCAGGCCTGGGGGAGGGTGCTCCCGGCAGGGACAGAAGAGGTTCTCGCAGAGCACGAGAGCCGGTGCGTGGCAGGTACCACAGGCACAAACAGCCCCCTGGGCAATAACCCAGCCTCGGCATTCCCGGCACCTGCCATGGGCTCGGCACCACACGGCGCGCCTTCTAGGCACTGGCTCCAGGCATCTTCCCAGCAGGACGCCTCACAGGAGTGGCAGCCCCCATTTTCCAGATAGGGAAACTGAGGCACACAAAGGTGAATGGCACCCGTGGTCTTAGGCTGTGGTTTGAGCCCCCGTGACCTGCAGCCTGCCCCTCACAGGCCACGGTGTACGTTTTAGGCCCTGGGACCAGCTTTGGCAAAGCAAGCACCCCAAGGTGGGAGGTGGAGTGAATGAGGGTGGGGGCCACGCCTTGGGGTGGCTCTGCGGGGTGGCCAGGGCCTGGCTGAGGGGACCACTGCAGGCTGAGCAGGGGCTGCTGGGGCTGACGCTCCGCGTGGGGGAGGGGGTCTGGGGGCCTCACCCTCGTCACTCGAGGCCTCCTGCTTGACCACAGTCAGCGGGGAGCGGGTGGGCGGCTTGCCCAGGGGGTGACGCCGGCTCTTCTTGATCTCCATCTTCAGTTTGGAGAACGTGGGCGGCGCCTGAAAGCGGAACAGGGAGCGTGTGCGGAGGGCATGGTTCGGAGGCACAGCAGTGCCTGGTCCCTCGGGGCAAAGCGGATGGCCTGTGTCCCTGGTCGTGGGTGCGAGGGCCCCTGGAAGGGGATGGCCGGGAGCTACTGGGGTTTTCCTGTGATGAGCCATGGGGGCTATTTCAGATGAGCAGGGCCGGGGCGGGAGCACGGGGCAGTGGGACCCCCAGGCCCCAGGGCCCTCCACCGGCAGCTCCCCTACCTGCACCTCGCTGGCTCCGCTCTCCTCCTCAGGACCCGTCAGCTCCATGGGGGCCGCCTGTTCCTTCCAGGTGGGGCCCCTCTGGGCAAAGTGCTCAAAGGCCTGCTGGCAGGACACGCGGCCCTTGTCACACCCCGTGCCGGGCCGTGGCACCACATACAGCATGGGGATGATGGGGCGCGGCTTCACCTCTGGCTCCTCGCCAGGTGCCTCGGGGGGCACGACGTTGAGAGGTGGTGGTGGGGGGTTCCCTTCAGCTGGCGCAGGGCCCGGGGCCAGTACCGGGGGCTCCAGCGGGGGCGGCAGCCTGGGTGCCTCCTCGGCAGGGAACTGGGTGGATGGGGGCGGTGGCAGCTGGGGCAAGAGGGGGTGGTGGGGGTGCGGAGGGCCACAGCCCTTCTTCTTCCTGTCACTCTTGGCCTTGGCTGGCCGCAACTTGCCCCTCCCGTCCTCTGCGGGCAAAGAGGAAAGACAGGTCAGAGCTGAGCCCAGCAGCCACACACTCTCCTGCGAGCCCCCCTGCCGAGGCAGAAAGTGACCTGCCCTCCACAAAACACATGCTTCCAGCAAGTTCAAACTGCTGGTGGCTGGAAACCAGTCATGCCTGAGCCTTGGGGTAGCCCCTGGTCCCTGTCCTCCTGGTTCTGCCCGGTGCTCCAAGGGTCTTCTGGAATTAGGAGTGAGAAAGCAGCTGGGAGGAGCTGCTTTGTGGTTCTGGGCTCCTGACTCGGGGCAGGGGCCTGCTCCAAGTGTCCTTCCTGGGGAGTGGGGCAGATGGAAGACGGTATCCGGGTTCTGTAAGTTACCACAGTTCACGTGTGCAGCCTGTACCGTTTTTAAAAAGTGAAACCTCAACCAGCAAACCATGAGAAGTGGTCGCTTGAGCAGAACACAAGAACCGGATAGGCCCGGAGGACCACCGCGGAGGGCCGATGCTGGGGGACTCCTGACAGGTAACGGGGCAGGGAGGGAGGGAGGCGAGGCATGTCTGCATTGGCATCTTAACTGGAGACCAGGACATCAGTTAAAAGTGAATGGCGGTATGTTTGGCAGAATCTCAGTCCCCGAAGATGCCCAGGTCCTAGCTCCAGACCTGTGAATGCGGAGCCTGACACGGCAGCAGAGAACCGTGCAGACGGGGTTAGGGATCTCGGCACGACAGATGACCCGATGGGCGCAGTGTACTAACTGGGATCCTTAAAGCCCAGGATCTCTCCCAGCTGCAGTCAGAGGGAGGTTCACTGCGGCACTGCTGGCTTTGACAACGGAGGGGGGGGCCGCGAGCCAAGGATGCGCTGCCCCCAGAAACTGGGAAAGGCGGGAACACAGTCTCCCCCCGGAGCCTCCGGTCGGGGCCAGCCCTGCCCAGAGCTGGGAGACCCACGTGAGGCTGCTGACCTCCCAGAGTCAGAGCATAAACGTGAGTCTGTGGTCACGGTCACAGCAACCACAGGGAACTCCGGAGGTGGTGGCCTTCGTGAGGCCCGCCGTGCTCAGGGCAAGGCATGCACGGCCTCAGGGACCCCTGCCCTCAGGGACAACCAGCCTGGTGGCCTGCTGGGGCGCACAGCCCACAGCACAGTGAGCCCTGGAACCCTCGGGCCCAGTCTGCCGCACTGGAGAATGGGCACACTAGCTCAGGCCCTCGTCTGTACGTCCCAGCTTCCCAGGGGCAAGAAATCACAGAAGGAGTGATGGCGGTGACCATCTGGTCTGCCCAGGGCCAAGGGCTTCCTGGTGAACCCAGGATGAGTTGGTCAGCCTGCCGAGGCTCCGGGCCAGGCCCCTGGCCCTCTCCGCCTCTCCCCACTGCTTCCCATCTGCAGGCTGCCGCCCTGCCCTGTCTGCTGGGACAGCCCAGACTGTACTGTCCTCCTGTCTTCGGCCACCACACACCCTGTGTTTCTCAAGAGGCTCCACCGGTCCTAAGTAGGAGAGGGTGCCTGCCCCAGCCTGGCTCACACCCCAGGTCCTGAACATCACAGGGGCCCGCGCCGCTCCGCTTAGAGGGACCCTGACTGCTCCCTAGGACCCCCTCCTGCCTGCACCTTAGAAATAGTAATCTGGCTGAGACGAAACCCTTTCTTCCCTATAAATGCTGAGCTTGGATGGCCCCCCTGCAATGGAAGGTAGCCTGTGGAGGTGGTAGAGGTGTAGGGGTGCTGGGGGAGAGACAGAGCAGGGAGAGATGTGGGGGAGCCGTCACATGGGGGGTGGAGACATGGTGGCAGAGGGGGGACGTGGCGGGGAGAGTCGCGGCTGGAGGGTGAGGTGGGGGCAGGGATGGTGCCGGGCCCCAGGACATCAGGCCCCACAGGCGAGTGGCAAGGCGGGTCGGTGGTTCTACTAATTTACAGAAAGGGCAATGAGGCTGTCCTATTTGCGTAAAAGGCACTTTCCAATAAACAGCTTTGTTCTCTAAGGAAACTTGATACTCCTTCCGCCCTGACAGGGCTGACCTCTCGAACGGAGATCAAGCTGAGCTCTCCCCTGCCTAAGGACAGTGGGACCTACTTACTGTTTACTCTGGAGCAAGAGGCTCTGCTGTTGAAAAGCAACATGCCCGGCCTCTTCCCATGTGCTAGACTCTGGGAAACCACGGGAGGACACACCCAGAGGACCGTTTTAGGGGACAAGCCAGCGGCAGGGAAGGACACCTGGGTGCTCGGGGCTCTGTCCTCGCCGTGGGAACCACCACAGGCCCAGGGTACGGGTCTCACCCTTGGGACCCTGTCGAGCCCCTCACCTGCCTGGGCCTGAGAAAATCTTGAAATGGCGCAGGCGACAGTCACACGGACAGGGCTGAGGGTCCCAGCCAGGGGTCTCTCCAGCACGTGAGCCTCTCCCTCCCCCGAGAATGGCAGGGACCACCCCACACACTCAAGCTGAGGCTCCCCCAGCACTTTTTTTGAGGGGTGGGGTAAATCACAGCCAAGTCCCCACCCCCACCCCAGCCTTAGATGTGAAAGGCCTGCCTGGTTGGGGAGTACACCTCTATGGCCCCAAAGTTCACCAATGGGAGCACACCAGAGAGCCTGGTAGGTGCAGGCCCCTGAGTTCCGTGTCTGCAGGGATGCTGCTCATGGAAGGAGGCCTAGGGAACCAGCAGGTTGGTGCCCCAAGTTGCTGCACATTTTAGGGACCTCCTCCCACCCCCGCCTGGGAGAGCTGGTCCTGGTCCCCAGAGTCCAGGCCACCCCCACCGACGCCACACTCTTCCCCTGCAGAGCCTGCGGCAGGGCACGCCTGTGGCTGAGGCCTGGCTGGACTGTGCTGGGGACGTGTGTCCCATGTGACCGGACACGCGTCCAAGCGTAACGCACAGCCCCTCATACACTCAGGCCCGGCCTCCACCCCTTGCTGGGTGTAGCCGCCCCAACATCCATCACACACGGTCAGGCCACTCCTGACCCCCGCAGCTCCTCACTGTGCACTGCCCCCGAGCCCCGGGGCTGGGCCAAGCTCCTTGAGGCCCTGAGAGGTGACGGCCCAGGGTCTAGAGCCAGTCTGGACCTCAGGGTGGGGTCCCTTGCCGCATGCTCGACCTGGGAGGGACAACAGACAGCAGAGTGGTAGAACCAGCGCTCCTGGGTCCTGGCGCTGCCCCCACTTTGAGAAGGGACCGCGGCTGTACCGAGCCACGGGGTGGGGGGGATGAGCTCCCGTGAGACGGCTGTGACCCTCCAGGAGGAGGGAGCCCCTGCTGACCCAGCAAACCAGGGCGGACAGGGGCTGCCCTTCTCCCTTTGGCTCCAGACCCCCGAGGTCAGGGGTGGGTGTGGGAGGAGGCTGCTGGTCCAGGTGCCCCAGGGCAAGGGCTCTTCCCGGACAACCTGGCCGCGAGAGCGGGGTGGGGGACCCCAGCAACCAGCCCTGGCCCCTTGCAGCCCTGAGGAGGCTTCCTCCTGGGGACGGTCAGTCCCCGCCCCGTCCCATGCAGAGCCCCAGGCGCCTCCACGCCTGCCCACCACGTCCCCCAGTGTGCTGCGTGGAAGTAACAGCGTTCACGGTCGTCGCTGTGCAAACCCAAAACAAAATGCCTACTGCTCGTGCACAACATGATCCTCAGCACTTAGAGCTTTTAGGGACATTAAACAGGTATTAAAAGAAGCCTAGAAAGCACTTTAAAATCTTCCACTCGTTCCCCGGACATGTATTTGCCATCGCCCCTGACTGTGAGCACTTGTTTATTCAATGAATTCAGTTATCTTCCCTCCAATGGCTTGAGGATGGCTCACGGGACGCTTCTGCCTGTGGCACGGGGCTGTGGCCGCCACAGCCGGCAGCCCAGAGGGACCGCTTCCTCTCTAAGGAGGCCACACAGCCCCGATCCCCCTTCCTCCAGGCTCTGGCGTGGAGCAGGGACGGCGTGCCTGGAATGGGGGAGTGTGCCGGCCCTGAGCAGACACCACCCCGCCCTTCCTGGGGTCCATGTGCCCCGAGAAGCTGATGGGGCCCCAGGGTGAGACTGGGGAAGAGGGCAGCGCGGGGCTGCAGATGCTCGGAAGGAGGTGTCTGTTGTGCACGGCCCCTTCTGGGCGGCCTGCAGCTTGAGAGGATTACTCTCGGGGGACACGGAGCCCCCCCTGCTTCCACCTCAGAAAAGGAAAACGGGAGAAGAGCCAGAGGCTCACTGGGAAAAGGGCCTCGATGGGCCAGCTCTCGCTGGGAATCCCGAGACTCGGGGAGACCAGGCCCCTGGCGCCCCCAGGATGAGACTGGGCATGGACAGCCAAGAACCGGTGACAGCCCACGCGGTGGGTGGTGGGCGTGGGTGGGAGGCGGTTGTCTTTAAAGAGTCAGTAGATTTGGGTAAAGATCCGTTAAAATTAAGTTAACAGAAAAGAGCCATCATTCCTTCACTAAGCAGTTGGGTAAGCGGGGTCGGCGGGCGCTGGCGCATGTTCTCCCGGCTGTCCCCCGGCCAGCCTCAGGCCCGTCTGCTCAGGAGGGAGCAGAGATGCCACTGGCTGCGAGGTCTCCTTCCGACGCTCCCCCAGGAGGGCCCCACTGAAACCCTCGTCTCTCCTGACCACCCGACCCGCTCAGCCGAGGAGTCCCCACGGGCTCCCAGCCTGGCCTCAGTGAGCCATTCCCACTCAGGCAAAAAGCCTCGTCAAGCGGGAACCAAGTTCCCTACCACCAACCCCCACGGGCGGCTTGTCCCTCAGCCAGCCTGACCCCGTGCCCTGGCATCGGGGAGGATGTCTCTCGTTTGACCCAGCCCACACCGCCCGCCCAGGCCCGGAGGACAGGTCCCTCGCTGCTCCAGCCCTCCCCGGCCCCGCCGGCGATGGCCTGCGGAGTCTCCCAACTCCTCAGGCCAGAGCCCCAAACGGGCCACATGGCACGCTCCTCCCTTACTCTCCCTGTGGCTGCATGGCCTCCAGGTTCAGATGCAAACACCGGATGAGACACCAGGCTCTGGACCCCAGAGCCCAGCTCAGAGAAATCATGATTTACCCAACACAGCCCTGGCTCTGGCCACGGGACCCACGTGACGGGATGTGTGTTTGGTCACACCCATTTCTTAGGTCCCAGGGCACACACGACGGGGGTGCAGGGCCTAGAGGCCCATTGCTCAGGAACACCCACGTGCCCCGCACCCCTACCAGCAGGGAGCCACCTGGGGCGGCCGGGGGTGGGGGGGCGGCACTGTGTTTTCTCCACTGATTTCAGCCATGCTTTCTTCCTGTGCTCCCCAAATTCCCGTTGTGAAGTCCTAACCCCGGAACTTGGGACTTCTGGCCTCCAGAGCTGTGAGGCCGCGAACTCCTGCTGTGGAAGCCCGCAGTCCAGGGTCTTCGTTACGGCTGCCTCTGCGGACCCGAGCACCCCCTACACAGTGCACCGTCCAGCTGGGCGTGTGTTCTGAACTTGAAACAAATGGTGTGTGCCCTGTGACGTCCAAGGCTACGTCTGAGAGTCACCACCACCCGCCAGGACAAAGAGAGGTGGCCCCCATTTCTGCCACCTGCACGGCCGAGGGCCCTCGCTCCTGTCCTTCCTGTTTGCCAACGGCCAGTCTCCTGTCTGGTCGGGCAGGCTGGCCTCTGCTGACCCCTCTCCTTTGGACCCCTCGCCCTCCATCTGTACTGGGGTCAGCACCCCAAAGCCCGGCTGGGAACCCTGAAGGGGCTGCGTGGACCGGCAGAGCACTGGGAGGAAACCGTGTCTTCCCAGCAGGAAGCTCTCTGACACACGTCGCTGCATTTATATGAAGGCGATTCTTCCTTTACAAAAAGTCTCTAATTTTTCAGTAAAGATCTTTCGTTTTCTGTTGGGTTTATTCCAAGGAACTTTACTTTTTGGTTGCATTTATTACAAGTGGCATCTTCTTAGAAACGCTGCTTGCAAGGAGACCCACAGCTGCTCCCTAACGGGAGCCTCACCAGCAGCCCGTGGGCACACTGGGGGTGCCGCGGCCTGTCTGCTGAGCAGCACCTCATCTGGGCCTCAGACTGCGCCCCGGGGCAGAGCCCCCTGGGTGTCACATCACCTCCATCAGCAGCCACGGGGGGCGTCCCAGCGGAGTACAAGCACAAGGCAGGCAGGGCCGTGCTGGGCTCACGTGTCCCAACAACCAGCCACCAAGACAGAGACTGAGGACCCAGGCGGGACACTCTGGTGACCCCTGCAAGGTGCGGCTGCCAGGATGATCTGCCATCTAGCCCAGTCCGGCCCCCCCTCAGCCCTGGGGAGCACCTGCTGTGTGCACACAGGGGAGCAGCTGAAGGTGTCACCGAGGACAATGACAAAGCGGCAGCACCACAAACCGTCGGCATGGGGCACCTTTCCAGCTCACACAGTTCACTATGCCGGCACTCCAAAGCCCCGTACGGGGTCAGGGTGCGTTTCTGAGACCCTTCCCCACCACACCTCCACAATGCCAGTCAGCCGGGTGACGAAGCAACTGGATCGGACTCCTAAGAGCAGGGACCCTGTGGCCACGGTGACCGCTGGCTCCTCCCGGCAGCTGGGGGTCAGGAAGGAGACCCCCAGGCCTGACTGACCTTCTGTGGCCTCAGCCTCCCGACCCTGCGGTGGCGCTGGCTGGGGCTCCTCCTCCTCTTCCTCGGCGTCCGCCTCCTGCGAGGCCTCCTCCTTCAGGCCGCCAGGCTCCTCCAGGAGGGTGGCCCCGGTGGCCCCCTCCCCTGGCGACTTGGGGTCTTCCGGCTTGGGCTTCTTAGGCTGGCTCCTTTTCCGGTGGGACCTGGAGAGGCACGGTCATCAGACAGGAGGTCAAATGACTGGGAGAAGTCCCATCTGTGTGCACCACCACCCAGCCTGCAAAATGGAGGCCCGGACGGCGCCCCAAAGTCACAGGGTCCAGGGCCAGCGCGGCTGGCTCAGGGGTAGGGGGACGTGGAGGGGGGACAGGCCTGGGGGCCACTGGGGCAAAGCGGGTGCTGATGACCAGGAGGTGGGATGATAGGGGGTGCTGGCTCGGGGACAGGGAGGCAGGAGGGGGGACAGGCATGGGGGCCATGTGGGGCAGAGCGGGTGCTGATGACCAGGAGGTGGGATGGTGGGGGGGCGCTGGCTTGGGGACAGGGAGGTGGAGGGGGGCTGCGTGGGGCAGAGCGGTGCCGATGGCCGGGAGGTGGGATGGTGGGGGGTGCTGGCTCGGAGCCGCTGTAAGCGGGGTCGGCGGGGGGGGGGGCAGGTGGAGATGCCTGCGTACAGGGACAAGGTGGACTTACGGCGGCCCCGGTAAAGATCCGTTAAAATTAAGTTAACAGAAGAGAGCCATCATTCCTTCACTAAGCAGTTGGGTAAGCGGGGTCGGCGGGCGCTGGCGCATGTTCTCCCGGCTGTCCCCCGGCCAGCCTCAGGCCCGTCTGCTCA